ATCTATTATACAATAATGATTTTAAAAAATAAAAATTATTAAAACCAAACTAAAAGAGCAGTAAATCAAATCACTCTTTATTATGGTAATTGACTAGCATACACATCTAATAAAGCATGTGACAGAATACATTTGTTATAGTGGAAATAGAATGATGGATAGAAAATGAACATTTATGACCAAGTATAAAACTTTTTTTAAAAAAGAAATGCATTTATATTTCAGAAATTCTATAATTTTCACATATCAAAAAACCCTAACCAATAGAAAACTGATTCCATGTTAAATACATGCCCATAAAATGGTTTAAGAATTGAAAATGTAAAAACCATATAAGTGGTAGCTGCAAACTTTGGACAGCCTTTGAGTTAACATCTCTAGTAGCCTAACATTAACTAACGAAGTTGGAATGTCATATCCTTGTTACCATGTAATGTTGAAAGAGAGAAAGTGTTAGGCAAAAGAATTTTGGAAAATTATTGCAAATGAGCATGAGCACTTCTGTTGGAATGGGTGGCCATAATAAATCTTAATAATCATTTTTTTTAAATTTTCTTTTAATGACTATAATCCCTTGCATCGGGGTGGAATCAAGGCAACTGAATGGAACTGATACAGGTAATCCCCCAGATACGATTGTTTATTTAGCAATATTTCACAAAAACAAGGTTATCGAGAAAGGGTACTTACATTAAAAATTCAAAATTGCGATCAAAAACATGCCTCTGTAGCCATGTGACTTGGATTCAGTCTCGGCTGCTGTGGTGGCCATTTTAACTCTGTGACTTGCCTGGGCCAATTCAGGCCTACAAGAAGCTGGAAGTGGTTGGTTTTGGGGTTGTTTTTTTGTTTGTTTGTTTGTTTATTTGAATTTATATCCCGCCCTTCTCCTTGCGGACTCAGGGCGGCTGACAATCAATTTAAAATACACCAAAAACAATTACAAAATTTAAAATTAGTTAAAAAGAAATATTTAAATGTTGTCTAATTAAAATATAATTAA